AGTTTCGTTTCGTTTGCAATGGTATTTATGCACCACTAAAAACAAAAAACTGTTTAAAAGACCAAAAACTATTGAAAAGATTTAGAGGACCCTAGTTGTTTGTTGTTTTCATATTTCATTTATTGGTGTGGAACTAAAGGTTCGAATATTTGTACTCGTTTGTTAGAGTTTCGTTTCGTTGGAACCATTTATGCACGACAACGGACTAAAGGCTATTTGAAGTTATTAGAAGATCTAACCGGACTGAAAATTAATAAATTATTAATATTATTACACTAAAGAATGTGGAGTGACTTTTTCTTACAATTAATTCACATACTGTAGGTGCTCTAATACTTATGACCGACAGTGTACATAATTTAAATGAATGTTACACGATCAAAGTAGTGTATTCAGAAACATGTAAATAAAAATGATCGTAACGTGGATACAGTACACCAAGTGTCCAAACACTGCTGCGGTGTTCGGTATCTTAGGCATAGCTCCCGAGTTCATCCATGGTTCCCAAGTGTTGTTTCTCCTCCTTGGATCAGCGTACCAGTCGATAGGCAATTTCGTTTGTCTTACTAAGATTCGTCCATAATGTTCCAGGTAAGAGTCTAGGTCTCGTGCAATCTACAAACAATAAGTTTGCGTGTGACGTATATTTAAATGTCACTTGGCAGAAGCTGATACATTTTGTCACTGGTCACCTGATATTTCTCAATTAAAAGACACGTCAAGGTTTTAATACAGTATGTCGTTGTAGTGATGCTAGATAAATCTCGATCTCGTCTTGATTTCGAGATGCGATTATAAATCGAGATTACTTGTAACATTCGAGATCGATATCGAGATTTAGCATGCCAAGATTTGGGCGAGATCAAAATTATTTCAAATTCTCGTCGAGATCTCGACGAAATGGTTTATTATATTGCCGATCGCCAACACATATGACGCCGTGACTGCTGCGCTAACAAGCGATGCCACATACAATTTTCTTAATATGTATTATAAGCTGCTTCTGCTTTGAGGGCAAGTTCCGACCGGCACAAAGTATGATATTTCAGCGATCCAGCGAGACAAAACTTATGTGGTTCAATATTCTGGAAACTGTTAGCCAGTCCGCATACGAAGCTACTCAAAAGAGACGTAATTGGTTGCTGATTGAAATCACGAGCTAATTACCTATTGGTTAGTAATGGTTTTGAATATTTTTAGAAAAAGCATCTACCGCTGTCCATGCGGTGTAATATTACAGCAAAGCCATATTCTCGGTCATTGCTTGAACAAATATTGTTAATAATTAAAGTAACTATTATCAGAAATTAATTTTTAGTTATTCTAGCTAACAGATATAACGATATTTAAAATTTTCTCACGATTACTGTGTTCGATAAACACTTATTCTGAACCGTGATTCTTGTTAATGTTTAATCGAAGAATAAATGTTACTATATGCATTGTAAATATTCAATTCATTCGGAGATGAACGTATTCAATGCATTATAAAGTTTTAGATTATTATACCAATGTTTTTTGAGAAAGTAATATTTCCGAACACGAAAAGTTGAGAATAAGATATTTTTCTATATTTTAATATCTGTTGATTGGAACAATTGAAACTTGATATCTCCGATATAATTGACCATTTGTGATATATACAGCATCATTCAGTGTTGGATTAAACATTAATAACAATGATGGTTCAGAATAAGTATTCATTCGAGACATTAATCGTGAGAAATTTGTCAATATTTTAATATCTATTGATTGGATCAACTAAACATTAATTGCTGACAGTAATTATAATTAATTATTAACAAGACTTATTATTTAAACAACGATGGGAAATATGATTTTGCTGTGATATTAATGTTTCACGAATTATTTTCTGGATGGATTCAACGAGCCTTTGACGCGACCGTCACACGGTTGTTGTTCGTCTTTCCCCTTCTCTACTTCGAGAGGCACGAACGAACCGCGACCCTCGACGCAGGTATACGAAGGGCGCGGTCTCATTCTTCGACGATCCTTCGGTCGATTCTTCCTTGTAGTTTTTACTTGGTATTGCTTGTGGGTGCCTTAGTTTAGTCTAGTTACTTTTAAGGCATGTATCTTGGTTAGCTTTAAGGCATGTACCTAAGTTAGTTTTAAGGCATGGATGTACGAGTGCCTTTCCTCTGTCAAATAATTATTAATCATTTGTTCAATTCTTTTGTTTGTTCGTAGGTCCATATTGGACTCGCAACTTCGTGCTCCACTTCGGTTACTACTGCTTCATGTGATAAGTGTAGTGACCAATCATGTGACTGGCCGAGATCGGTTGCCGTCCTCTGGTGGGTCTGATTTGAGAGAGGGTCAATCAACGCCTCCGAGGAATCCTCTACTCTCTGTACGCGTCAGGCGAAGTCCAGGCTCCCGACGCAGCGCAGCTCAAACGAGCCGTCAGACGGATGCAAGTCGTGTCCTGGACTCCTGACGTTGTGCAGAGAGTAGAACTCCGTTTCGGGACTCTACGACCGTCAGACATACCTGGTGTCGCCAGGGCAGGGCAACCTGACGCGGTGCTACCTACGTCGTACACTGTAAGGTCGGATCCGGGCCCTCGGCAACAGGTATGCAGGGAGTAGAGTACTGGCGGAGACGTTGATCGTCTTTCTCTCGAATCAGGCCCACCAGAGGAAACGGAACTGACTCTGTAAGTCCAGTTACGTGGTCGCGTCGTGTCGCGATCTCAATTTACCTTCCATTTAGTTCAAATAATTATTTGGCAGAGTCAGACTTTGACTTTGGAAATCGAAGGGAATTTTCTTTTCTTTTGATTTCCACGGTTTCGTACTTAGTATTAAGCTCGTCGACTCTATGTAGAGTATGCATCTATGTATGTATACTGCATGTAGAGGGAGATCGAAGGAAGTTTGATTCCTTCTATCTCCGGGTCTCCAGTCGCAGCAACCTCCACGTGGTGAGACCTGGTAATCGGTATTATTCGCGACGAAGAATACTTCGTCGCAAATAATATCGAGAGCTAATGGCTGCGAACTTAGAATAAGATCTTTAGATATAAACAGTGTACAGTGTAAAATGCAAAGTGTAAAGTGTAAAGTATAAAGTGTATAAAGTGTAAAGTGAGTGTAAAGCGAGTGTAAAGTGAATGTAATACAGCGTAAACCGAGTGTAATGCAGTGTAAAGTGAGCGTAAAGCGAGTGTAATACCGTGTAAAGTGGATAGCGTAAAGTGAGTGTACAGTGAGTGTAAAGTGTAAAGTGAGTGTACATCGAGTGTAATAGAGTGTAAAGTGTAAAGACGTAAAGTGTAAAGTGTAAGCTTCACACCAGCCCCTCCCCCTTTCTGAAAAATTCAAACAAACTGTTGTTTCAAACATTTTTCTGTCAAATTATCAGAAATGCCTGAAAAATCGTGCGAACCGTTATTGAAAATATACAATATATATTATTAATAAATCATATAAACACAACATTTGATAAATATCGAACATAATATCCAAAAGCGACATTATTTGTAACTAGACTACGGATCTTTATATAGAATAAAATCTTCGCAAACGTACCTACAAAAATAGAACCTAAATAGGAATTTAAATTTATTGTAAATGCATAAAAATCCGCAGTCCGCTTATAACCCTTACGAGTAACTCTGATATAATAAATTACATTTGAATAAATTAACATTGATTTAAAACTGTAATGGAAGTTTGGTCAATTTATATTTTATTCTTACTTACCCTAGGATATGATTCGGCAATGTTCTTCGTCTCGCATGGATCGTTTACTATATCAAATAAGCATTCCGTAACGTTACAGGTGGTGAATCCGTGTCTATTGAAATACGTCATATTGGGGCTACACAAGACCGTCGCATCTTGTCGTAATTGGTGTATCGTACTCGGTTGTGTCACCGGGCCTCCTAGATGATTGGTGATACCCTGAGTGACGGAACTTTTCATCACTGTTTCGTCGTATGGGGTGGACAACTCCAATGTTCTGCCAGAGTCACCAGAATATCCATCGTAATAGCCATTCTCGATTGAGCCTTAAAAAAAGATGAAGACGAATGATAATCAAGAAAAATCTGCGCGAAAAGGATAAATTTCGCTTTAATAAGCCAGAAAACTCTTCCACGATTGTTTCCAATTGTTTTTCCATATTTCATTCATATCACATTTCCTTTGAAAATGTATTTTAAATAGTCATTTATGAGATGATATTTTCGAATTAATAAATGACTTAAACTACTACAGGTATCGATTCACGTTGTAATTAATTGTTACGAAGAATTCAAGTAGTTTGCAAAAGTAGTTAGTAGCAGTTGCAGTTTCAATTGATTGATTTCTTAAATTTGTTTCTTTATACTTTAATCAGAATAGGTGTAATAATTTATTTTAAGCCCGGAATGGAATTATTGTCTTACATACCATTTGTGCACAACGATTATTTAAATAAAAAAAATATATTAGAGAAAAGTGTAATCAGCTTTAAGAAGCAATAAAAAGAAGTATATAATTCTTTAAGATTTTAATTCTTGTAATTATTATTCTTATAATTATAATTATAATTATAATTTTTATAATTAAATTTCATTTAAAAGGTAGACACAGCTTCCACAAGGCTTCTTTTGTATTGGTAAGACTATAGCGCTCATGCTCGATGAATATTTTACAACAATATTCAATAGTTTTTAATATTAAACATGCTTTTAATATTCAACAATATCCTTCAATAAGAATATCAACGGCGATTTCTATCGTTCCTATGCCGTAATTAAAATGTTTAAAAATCAAACAGCGTACTATCCATCTTGTTGAAACTCTCATTTGCATTCAACATGTGCCTATCTAAATATTTTCAAGGATATCTTCTTGACAGCTCCTCATAGACGGGCAACATCGAGCAACTTCTACATGTTCAAACGAGATGCGGGCAGGTACACGAAACAGTTTTACATCGCACAGATTATTTAAAAAGTACTCGAAGTCGTGTATAAATGGCGGCAGTAGGGATAATGGTGAATTCTATTGTGATGGGCATTGAACAAAATTAAATTTGTATTTTAGATTATAGTAAATTGCAGTTTTATAGAGAATTTAATTGTTTAATATTAAAAGCATGGAACTATTGAACATTATTGTAAAATACTCATCGAGCATGAGCGCTATAGTCTTACCCAGTGATGGGCAAAATCGTAATCGCAAATACGAATACGATTGTAATCGAATGTTTTCGAGTTGTAATTACGATTACGATTGTAATCGTATCTTTCCGAGTTGCGATTACGAATACGGTTACGACCGTATTTTTAAAGGTTTACAGCCATCTAAATTCTTTACATCAAAACCGACTTCAGATTCCTGTTCCTCAGCCCAAAAAACTTACAAAACCATACATTCGTCGAAATAAAAAATGAACAATTTTCAATTAAAATTCGTGCCCATAAAGCAGAGCCTAGATAGGGTAACTTTTTAAAAAATTTTTACTTTGTCGAAAGCATGGTTTTCTAAGTTGCCTAATGCGAGGAACACGAATCTGATGTCGGTTTTGAGGTAAAAAATTTCTATGGCTGAAAGCCTCTAAGAATACGGTCGTAATCGTAATCGTAATCACAACTCGAAAACATTCGATTACAATCGTATTCGTATTTACGATTACGATTTTGCCCATTACTGGTCTTACCAATACAAAAGAAACTTTGTGGAATCTGTGTAACCTGTAATGCCATCGCACCTTGCGAATTTTAATATTTGCAAGTCCAAGATATGAATCTATACAATCTTTCTATACAACGATGCGATACCGAATTTGTCTATTTTACAAAGCTTACCTCGCAATAGTTTAAATCGGCTGTATATCGCTCCCTCGGTTTTAAAAAATTCGTCGATGTTTAATAAGAGTTTGTCTCTGCCACGACCCTTCCCTTCGCTCAAGACGTGCCATTGATCGACGCCATCGATCCTTCCCAGATCTCTCAAATCTCCGCCAGCCGCTGAATAAAGAGTCGGCAACCAATCCGCTATGTGTATCAGTTGATTCGAAACCCGTGCTGTTTGTTGTATCCTTGGCGACCATATTGCCGCAACTCCTCTCACTCCCCCTTCGTACAAAGTGTACTTCGTCTACAATGAAAATGAACAAAATGGTGCTCGTCGAAATTTTTTATGAATTCATTGTGTCTGGTTACTAATTTACAAAGCAAGGAATATTTGGGGTGGATAATCGATTAACCCTTTGCACTCGAGACCTTTTTTCTGGTATTTGCCACCAACTCAAGCTGTTTTTTATCATTCTATTGCCATGAATTCTAAGCTATCTAGATTTGAGAATGAGGTCACTTTTACCTCGCCGACAATCATTTCATCGACACTTCGAGCTCCAAAGAAATTAAACCTAGAGAGACATTAGGTATTGCAGATTCGCTGCGTGAAACCTAATGGTGACTGAGAGTCACCTCTCGAATGCAAAGGGTTAACAGCTAAATTATTTAACATGTTTATTGCCAAGATGGAGTAATGGAAATTTCTATAAGGCGACAATTTCGTTTTAAGACATCATTGATTAGCAGACTGATAGCAGTGGAAATTTCTAGGAGAATACATTTTTGCTTTGGGATAATTAACCCTTTGCACTCGAGACCTTTTTTCTGGTATCTGCCAGCAACTCAAGCTGTTTTTTATCGTTCTATTGCCATGAATTCTAAGCTATCTAGATTTGAGAATAAGGTCACTTTTACCACGCCGACAATCATTTCATCGACACTTCGAGCTCCAAAGAAATTAAACCTAGGGAGACATTAGGTATTGCAGATTCGCTGCGTGAAACCTAATGGTGACTGAGAGTCACCTCTCGACCACAAAGGGTTAACTCTTCGAGGCCCATGATTATGAAAGAAAAATGAAATTCACGCTGCACAGAAGAACAGTGTCAACAAACTCGCTAACGCGTTTATGACTTGTGTACATTTCTGATTCCACTTGTTGCACTTTTAGCAATAGTTCATAGTATTGTCACATGAATGAAAAACTTTAAATAAAATAGTAAAGCTAAGCAAAAGGTGGGATAACTTTCAACCCACCTAACTTCGAAGAGTTAAATGGCAAAGTTATTTTTGTTTCAGCAAACATTTATTTCAAGCAAACAGTCCAGCGACGATATGTATTTATTTAGTTCAGGCTTGCTAAAAATGTTGACATTTTAGCTGCTGGAGTGTTTAGATAGAGATTACAATTTGGAAAAGGATTTTCTACATTAACATATATATTAATATTATATAAAGCTAAATACTGAAATTAAAAAGCCTATAAATTGGCTCCCAGTAAATGAAGTGTTAATTTACATTGATATGTTATAGATACGTTTAAACTATTGTGGGGTAAATTTTGCAAAATAGAAATATTATGCAGCTGTATAGTTTCATATCTTGGCTCGAAAGTATCAAAAATGAAGTAAATTCTATGCATTTGAATATTTGATTGAAACTAAAATTGGTAAATTATTATTAACGGAATATACAGGGTGAGTCTTCTAACATAACGACTTCAAATAACTTGTAAGGTGTTCGTGGTATGACAAAATGTTTCAAACAAAAGTTGCGTGGTATTTAAGGGGACATACAGTGCTCTAATCTGTTTTTTATTATCTTACTTTGTTATTGAGATATTAGGGTCACCTTCAGTTTTTTGAATGGAATGTCTAATATTTGTATACATGTATTAAAAGCCTCATTTGTTCCCTAAAATTGAGCATTGCAACTATGTAGACAACCAACAAGATTGTTAATAAATTTCAAGGGGTAAACATTGGAATTAAAAGGTCTACAATTGTTAGATAAAGTGTTGAATGAAGCTATGATGGAAAAAAAAGAATTTAATAGAGTATAATAGCAAAAGAAACATTGAAATTAAAACGTGTGCAGTTGTTGAAGTGTCGAATGAAACTATGTATAATAGAAAAAGAAAGAATTTGTTAAGTTGGTGCTCTTCGATGTACCTAGTAACGGTATTGACGAACTGTCAGCCTAAATTAACATATGGTACTGTAGAGAATTCTTTTTTGAATTAAAGACTGTTTCTAAATAGCCCGGTAGATAAAGTGTTAACATTAACTTCTATAGTATATAAAGCATAGTATTAAAAGGCACATAAAGTGTTGAATGAAGCTATGATGGAAAAAAAAAGAATTGAATAGAGTATAATAGCAAAAAAAAGCATTGGAATTGGGTCATTCCATGCCAACTTGGACACTTTTTGGAATAAAGGATTCTGAAAAATTGTGAAAATTGTCGATTTTACAGGTGTTCAAAGTTTTGGGCTACCTTTCAAAAAAATATAGCTATTGATGCACCCAGCAGACTCAGCCGTGCCTCCGTAGGGCCTATGATCGCTGCAAGGACTAATACAGCTAATAGATATTAAAACTTCACTCTCTGTCAGTGGCACTTATTGTTGAAAATTAGTTGCCACGGTTCAATGGAAACCAAGAAGATGGTAAGTATTCTTCCATCCGCATAGGATGGAATTTGATAAGATTAGGTTATTGGAGAAATATCCTAACATATCATAATGGCCATTTCATTGAACGAATCACTGATAATATTATTATTTATTTTATAATTTTAACAATTTGTGATTTTTTACTATTAAAAGTAAAGACTATAACATATCTAAATTTCGTCAAAATCTGAGATGTTACTCAAAAAAGTGTCCGAGTTGGCATGGAATGACCCAATTAAAAGGTCTACAGTTGTTAAAGTGTCGAATGAAGCTATGTATAATAGAAAAAGAAAGAGTTTGTTAAGTTGGTCTGCGTACGATCAGCTTTGTTAATTCACTTTTAACTGGATAAACTTGCCGACTTTATGCCGTGATCTTACCCCTCTCAAGGGATAGTTTGAGCCCCAGTTTCTGAATTTACCAATGGTTGCTGCTCCGTTATCGGTGAGAAACAATATCAAAGAGTCTCTGAGCATTGCTCTCTCACCTAGCACGTGAAATATTCGTCCAAGCGAATCGTCCAGTCCCATCACCATTTCTAACATAAAGGAACTACAGTGAAATTCGAATAATTCATAATCATGCATTTTAAACGAATTATATACTCAACTATAGCGAGTTATATTCATCACAAAAGCCATTCGTTTACGTGGCGTTATTTCTTACATATCATTGTCAGACAACATTTGATTCTATCGATAAGTGATAATTATAATTGACAAGTTGTGGCAATTGAATTTATTTCCAATTGAAAATTGATTGTAAATAGAATCCGAAGGTTCGTTTCAGTTGAAGTCTGTTTTCGATAATTAAAATTGAAGTTAATTTCAAATAATATTTCAATTAATCGATCAGACGATTAAAAATGTAATTGCTTGTTATCTGACACTGCTAGGTGATTATCGAAGATTATGAAATAAGACCATGAAATAGACGAAGAGAGCGAATATGATTTATATTTTATTTTATATATTTATGTGTTTTATTTTTGTTAATAAATTGAATAACCATATTAACTGTGAATGTTTTTTAAATTGTCATCTTGGTTATGATCGTATCATAAATACAGTCCAATAATCCAGCACTGTTGTACTTCTGAGCATGTCCGATTATCAGAATTTTACTGTATTTTTTTTATAAACGATTCAAAAGTGAACGATACGAAATTAAACAAGCCTGGATGAATAATCTTCATCGCAGTGAAAGTAACATTTTTTTGTTCTTTTGTTAAACTTTCTATTCGCACAATGCCAATTCATTTTTCAACCATTTCAACCATAGCAAAGGAAAGAATTATAGTCGAGACAAAATTCGACTAAAAAAATTTCACGTTTTGATTATTAAAAAAAAGAAATAAGAGAAACGAGACGATCATAATACCTTTCCACAAATGCTAATACGTATTATTTTACAGAGTTAAGTATAAGAAAAAAGTTTTGTTTGTCATAAGTACAAGTTATCTGAAAATTAAAAATGTAAAAGGTTTGTTGAATTTTAATTTTCAATAACAAAATACGCCTGATAATCAGACGACATCTTTCACGGTTGATCGTAATCATGTGTACATTTAATATTTAAAATAACAGAGGATTGGATATATTCCGTATCATTTTTATTATATCGAGAAACAAAATTAATAATAACGAAATATTTTAATTTTTACATTGCGATTTTAAAATGATACTCATTTTGAAATAATCGGTTCGAATAGTTTGCATCCTCGGAGTTTGCATCCTGTTCAATTAAGAAACGAATGCAGAATATTAGACAAACAAAACTGTAAATATAACAGTGACACAAAACCACGTCATGAAGAAGAAAATCTTTAAAAATTCTGGTCATATTGTTATACCAGGTTGTCCCAAAAGTTTCTTTCGTTTTATTAATAAGTAATACATGCACAATAGTTTATGTTTTATGTTACATTACTGAGTTGTGCACGATTCATTTTGCTCCATTACTGTTACAACATGAATATCTATGAAATTAGATTGTCCATTTATATAAACACGATCTTTAAACGATCTATTTAAAGAAACTTTCGGGACAACCTAATACTTTACTTATCGTGACGAGTGCTGCTTGTGATTTATATATCCTATGTTTACGTACCAGCGTACTTGCGACGATTTGGCTCGCGAATGTCAGCGAATCCCCTATGGTTGTATCGATCCGTACGATATTCCAAAGGTGCGTGGACTGCGAGATGCGATATCTGAAGGTAAAGGGGTCTAGGGAGCTCGTGATTCTCGATAATTTTAATCGCTTCTAAGGTGAATAAGTCTGTTGCATATTCACGATTGGTTCCGTAAGCTGGATCGTCTCCTCGATGCATGTCATATCCGCTCATGTTCTGAAAAAGGACATTGATTTCAGGCGGGAATTCCTTTTTTTCCAGGTAAAAACTCGGTTTTGTTGTTGTTGGCAGAATCTCGCAATACAACCCTTCAAGAATTACGGAAAATTTCAAGTAAAAGTTTACGAAATTGATGAATTAATACACCTGTGCGACTATTCTGCTCAAATAGAAACCTACAAGAACCTCATATATCGATAAAGAATGGTTCAGCCTTCATCGAGTGGTTTGTATTATCGCACTGCTCGATTTACTTCTAGTGCATTATTATGCAATTTTTTCCTTAAATTTTATTTAAGTGGGGGATGCTAGCTAGGCAGACGTAGATAGATAGATAGATAGATAGATAGATATACAGGGTGGACGATTTATCTGAAGACATTGAAATATCTCGAGAATTATGCATCGAATAAAAAAAAGTGGCTAATATGAAAGTTGTTCGTCTCGAAGGAGGAGATCCAATGATCCCAAACTCGATCCCCACCGCCACTGCCTTGGGGGTGAGGTTGGGGGAAGATAAAAGACTTAAATAGGAACCTCGTTCTTTATTGCAAATTTGGATTCTTCAGAAGAAAATACACCAATTTGACAAAAATCAAAATGGATAAAAAATCGTTGAAAATTGGAGATATCTTGAGAAATACACATTTGATTAGAAAAATAATTGTAGAAGTATTTGATATCTTAAAAAGTGCTATTCTGACATCTGTGAAACGTCTGTGAAAGAAATTACACCAATAATGTCAAATCAATGGAGAACCAAGATGTGCTATAAAAAAAGGTTTCCCATTGAAGATTTTGAAATAATTTCCTCTCCCACCATCGGGCGGTGGGGATGGAGGTCACGTGTGGTGTTATTGAATAGCATTTGTAAAACTATCAAATACTTTTACTTTTATTTTTCTAATCAACGATCTATATTTATTCCAGCTTTCCAGCCAAGAAATAGACCTGGTTACTTTAACCATTTTCACCTTCTCTCATTCCACCACACTCGTACTTTACATACTAATCCTAAAATTAGTAATCCTTAACCTCTTAACCTAGCAATGCTTCATTTAAAAATACTACAAAAGCTTCAAATCTAACCTATGACTTTATTTTTGGGATCTACTTCTACTAATTAATACGATTTGTACAACTACCGAGTCCCAGAGAGCATATTAATAGCGTCACGTTTTCTGACGTGGGCAAATTCTTTTTTAACCAGTGACTAAGAACTCGTCTAGGATGTTACATCGAAGAATCAATGCCAAAAACATTTTCTTAAGTGATAAATCACATAGATTATAAGACCAAACATTAACACTAGTAGAATTATTAACCTCTCTAAATCTATGTCAATAATCTTGTAATCCATGTATATATTATACAGACAATGTTTGGTTTCGTTTTTCATAGTTAAAGATGATATTATCAGACAAAATATTAACCCTAGTAAAATTATTAACTTCTATAAACCTGTGTCAACAATGTCGTAATCCATGTATATATTGTACAGACATTGTTTGGCTTCGTTTCTCATAGTTAAAAATCATATTATTGTTGTTTTTATTTTCATAGCTTTTTAAAATCACAATCTAGATACTATATTTCCTAGAACAACAAATATTGAAAAATCTCGTATAGTTTCTTATAAACATATTTCATATCTCTCTGGGTGTGCCAATAATTTTATGACTCACTGTGTTTTATTCATTTATTTTCTCCTATAAGTGCTACATATGTAACGATTTATCGTGCGATAATTTGTACAACCAAGGCTGATGCGACTGTTTCAACGATAATTCTAAAGTGTGTCGGGTCGTTACGGCAATGATGGCAATATTTCTCTGCAGTACGGCTATTATTACAACTTGACGAAGGACTTATCGTACAATAAATCTTTGCTAAACTCTGTGGCCTCCATTACGTTGTCACGGTAAGCGCTGATTTTCTTTTGTGGTATGTGAAACAGTATTTAGTCTTACAGAATTCAAGACCAACATTCTTCAGCCATCTTGTCCTAGTGTTATTTATTTATTTTTTTTTCTCTCCAGTATTTTCACACCTAAGCTTCGTATTCAATCAACCTAACGAGGCGACTTGTGATTTAAACGGTTATAACTTCCACATATTTTTAAATTAATTTATTATACTTTAGTAGAAACATTTTAAAGACCTTAAACAACAATGATATAGAAAGAAATCTGAATTTTAATCCAAAGTATAAGAATACCTCCTTAAAGTTTCGTGTTTAATTAGCTTAATGATCTATTTTCACTTAACCGAATTAGCCTAATGGGACCATCTGTGTTTTAAACAATTATGATTTTGGCAATTTTTAAATTTCGTTTAGTATATTAACGTAAGAATGTTTTAAAGACTTTAAACAACAGAGATATAAAAAAAAATCTAAATTTTAATCCACAGTATAAGAATACCTCCTTAAAGTTTCGCGTTCAATTAGCCTAATGGTCTATTTTCAATTAACCGAGTTAGCATAATGGAACCACCTGTGATTTGAACAATTATAATTTTGGCAACTTTTAAATTTCGTTAAGTATATTAACGTAGAACTGTTTTAAAAACCTTGGGCCATAAGAATATAAAAATGTTTATTTGTGACCGAGAAAAGAGCTTTAAGTGTACCCCTTAAAGAAAGCTATTTATTACGTTTCTTTTATGAACAATCTTAACTGCTTTTGCAAATATAGTGTAATGATGCGACGTTATAAGGGTGAGTTACATTAATAACAGGGGAGACCATAATTCTTCTATTGTTTGCAATGCTTATTTATCATTTTGACGTTGCAACATAAGTGTTACACAAAGATGGGGATTTATTAAATTGTAAGAAATTGTGCATCTTTACCTGAATCGAATATTTGTAGTCATAATAACTGATGTGGCTGTTGTAGAATCCAAGGAAGTAATCGAAACCTCTATGCATTGGTGTATGCTGAGGTGTATGATAACCCATGTGCCACTTTCCAATTAACTTGGTAGTGTACCCCAGTCCTCGCAAGTATTCCGGTAAGATTTTTATATTCAACGGCAGACCACGTGGTTCACCACCACGGATTCCATCCCCTTGCATGCCTGTATGGATTAATAATTGTCATTTATTATACATTGTATTATACATTTTAAAGTATAATAAAATATAATAAAGTATAATAAAGTATAATAATACATAATAAATGACATATTGTATTATGTCAAACAATGTATAATATATATATATATATATATATATATATATATATATATATATATAATGTT